TAAGTTGTTAAGTTAGCTAAAGATGTAAGAATAACATTTAGCTCTTGGTTTTGTATTAGTTCCTCAATTAACTGCTGCATAATTTTTCTAATTTATTGATTAAATATTAACTGTCATATTACTAAATCTCGTGGTTCTTCTAATTTTGTTTTGTAATTGTATTAAACCATAAATTAAGGCTTCAGCTGTAGGAGGACAGCCAGGTACATACACATCCACAGGAACAATTTGATCGCAACCACGCACTACTGAATATGAATAATGATAATATCCTCCCCCATTAGCGCAGCTTCCCATTGAGAGCACCCATTTTGGTTCAGTCATTTGATCATAGACTTGGCGTAAGGCAGGGGCCATCTTATTAGTTAATGTTCCTGCTACTATCATTAAGTCGGATTGCCTTGGGCTTGGCCTAAATAACATACCAAAACGGTCCATATCATATCGGCTGGATGCAGCTTGCATCATTTCTATAGCACAGCAAGCTAGCCCAAAGCTCATAGGCCATAGAGAATGTGCTCGTGACCACCCCAGTAGGTCATCAAGCTTTGTGATCAAAAATCCTCTGTTAGATATTTCTTCACCCAATATTGGATCTTGTTGAAATAGGTCTATAGTGTTCTGCATATTATACTCTTGGATGAATGGTATTAATTTTACTGATAGGCATTTTCACTACGATTCTAGTGGGGCTGACGTAGCTTAATATACTTATTGGATTTCCTAGAGCCTTCATTTTATTAGACAGGGGTGCCCGCGCATGCGGGGCGTACATATTAGTATTTGAGAAAGTAAATCCCTAATAAAATGAAAAAACAACTATTGAAGTGCGAGCAGTATAAGATTAGTTATATCTGCAAATCTTTACATTTATTCCCACTCGAGCGCTCCTTTTCTCCACTCATATACAAAACCAATAGTGAGCAGAAATAAAAAAAACATCATTGAAAAAAAGCCAAACTTGCCAATCTTCCCTAAGGTAATAGCCCAGGGCATTAAAAAAGTTATTTCTAAATCGAAAATAATAAA